CATTTCGTGCGAAATACCGCCTCATCATTGATTGCTCGAGCACGGTTGTCAACAAGACTGCCGTTTCTAGCGCGGGGATCGATGATATCGATGTTTAACCCACAGCAAGGGTTTAAACGCGCGTTTTTGTGAAATGAAAGCGTTAAAACTGAAGCGTCGATGCAAAAAGGCTGCTCCCAATCCCTCTACATTGGATGCATGTAGCGGCTGCAGTCTTCGTCCGTGCCTCGTGGTATGGCGGGTCCACCACCCGAGCAGCGGTTCGAGCCACCCCGATTGACTGTAGAAGTGTTGAGCCAACCCCTGTGTCCAAAAATACTTGCGTCGTCATCATTAAGCATCCGAAATGCAGACGCCCGACCAAGCGTGCGTGGACGACTCCGATCGGAGAGCTCACGGCTGCGTAGGCGACTCAACATGCCGCAGACGCTGACGCTGGACCACGTGTCACCAGCGACGCGGCTGCTGGAGAAGCGACGGCAGATGTTCGAGGTCCAAGAGGCGCTGGACGCGCAAAAGGAGGAGTTTTCCCGGCGCGAAGTACGTTCCTTGTGTACCCACAGCGCTCAGAGACTATGCGACAGGACGCGTTCCGACGCCGCGAAGAAGGTCTGCGCAAGAAGGACCTCGAGCTGCAAGAGTCGCTTATCAAATTCAACAAGTTTCTGCAAGAGAACGAGTCCAAGCGCAACCGCGCCATCAAGCGCGCGTCGGATGAGATCAAACAGCGCCTCGCAAAGGAGCACGATGTCGCCCGGCTCCGCGAGTCCCTCGACCGCTTTAACGAAGAGAACGACAAGCTCTCCAACGAGGTCGAGCGGATTGCATAAGCCAAGCTCAATTGCGAATAGGTCAAGACCAACCTCAAGTACACGCGGTACCTCGAGAGCGTGCAAGAGTCGGTGCCGGAAGACTACCCCGAGATCACCGACCTCGTGAACCGGTATAACACGCTCAAGGACGCCAACCGGGACCTCTCGGAGAACCAAGCGCTGCACGAGCGCGACAACGAGCGCAAACGCATCAAGTTTGCGACGTTCACAAAAGAGCGCACGAACGACATGCTCAACTTCAACAACGAGATCGCGTCGCTTCAGAAGCAGCTTGAGCTCCGCGAGTCCAACGCGATTCGTCTCCAGCACGAAGTAGACCAGTTGGTCCGATAGAAGTTTAGACAGATTGTCCGTGTATAGGTGGACACGACGATCCGCAACACATCCGACAAGACGCTCGAGGTCGGACAGATTCTCATGGCCGTCGGGAATCTTCTCCAGCGCTCGACGAGCGGCATCCACGGCTCGATCCTTAAGCACATTGAGGTCAAGGACGCGAACGACGACCACAGCAGCAGCGCCGAGACCAAGAATGAAGATCTCGAGCTGCTCCAGAACGGACGCAAGGCCATCGCGGATCTGGACGTCATCGCGTCCTACATGGTCGACTTCACCGCCATCGTGCAGGCCCGCGCCGAGGCCCAGCGCGCGCAAAAGAAGGCAGCTGCTGCCGCCGCCGACTCGCCTGCCAAACAACCCGCGTGAAAAAACTTGGTTTTTGGATTAGTCGGTGGTCTTTGCCTTGCGCTTCTGGCGCTTGGCCGGCGCTTGCTTTTCGTGGGTCTCGTGAATGTCCTGGACGACCGCTTGGAGTCGCTTGCTGCGAATCTATCGCACGATGGTAGTGTCTCTTGCTGGCGCAAACGTTACCTTGGCGTACTTGACGCCGTCCTTGTACGACGTAAAGTAGCTGTCGATGCGTGTTTGCGTCTCCGACCAGCCGCGCGTCGCCGCCTGCACGATCGGCAGCAGCGTCGCGTTCACCTTCTCGAGCGGCCACCCAAACGTGCGGCCGCAAAAGACCCGCAAGTTGGCCAGGTCGGGCGTCGACCAGGAAAAGCGCGCATCCGATCGGTCCGTCTCGGGCTCGAGGTACGCCTTGACGACATGCGCGTTGGGGAAGGCGTCGGCGATGTGCCAGTTGCGTCGGACCTTGTGGTGCGTGTGCTTGAAGCGCTCGAGAGGCGAGAGTGCCTTGAGCTCGGCCTCCGATAGCTTTGGCAGCGGCTTGAGCTGCGCCGCAAGGTCAAAGTCTTGCACCCACGCTTTAAACTAGCGCATACCAAATCAGAGAGCGTCGTTCAGAGGCGGTCATACCTCGCAAAGACCGTCGAGACCTGGAAACGCGTGGACAATTTCGGTGGCGTTGACAACGCCGACGCCATGGATGCCGTCCGTGTAGTCGCTGCCGAGGAGGAGAGCGAGAGCGATCTGTGCGAGCTCCATGAGGTGCAAAATCCAGTGAAACAGTGTGCACCATGCTCTTCTGGTCGAGCCCAAGTTCGCGCTCAATGTCGGCCATGGAGAAGGCTTCGACAAACTTGGAGGTTTTAAACATATTTTTGTAGACGCGTTGGCCGCCAAACGCGAAAATATCACTATCCCACAACGATTTTTGAGGAATTCAGAATCGCAGAAAAACCTGTCGTCCGTGATGACGCCCGTCACAAGACCGAGCTTTTCGAGCGTGGCGCACTGCGCCTCGGCCTCCATGGGTGCTACAATGAACGGAACACCAAAGAGCCGCAGCAGCTCCATGACGTCGTTCTGCATCTCGTCCGTGACGCCATCGACGTCGCGCATTTGCTGGTTCCGCGACCGCTTTAGCTGGGCGTCCGTCTCGCCACCGTCGTCCGCAACGAGAAAGCGACCCGAGTCGACAACGACGGGCTCGGTCGGCGTCGTTCGCGTGAGGTACCGTGGCGTCGCGTCGTCCTCCAGCGGTTTACCGCCATGCTTTTGCTGATGGTCCCGGATCGCCCGCTTGATGGCGCCAGCAGCCCATTGCCTACGCCATCCATATTGAATAGACTACGCTAAAACAGTGTCGCACGTACGTCAGGTTAGAGGCTGTGGTCATGACGGCCTGAAGCGCATCGTCGTTTCGGGCAAGTCCGAGCGTGACGACGTCGTCATCGTCTTCGGCTGACAGCGCCTTGGACACGCGCCGTTCAAAGAGATTGTCCTCGTCGTTCCACGCGCCGAGGGCATCGGCGTCGAGGACGGCTGCCGTCGGTCGAAGCACCGGTGACGACGGCGGTGTCGCCTCGGCACTCCACGTCGTCCGTTCCACCGCCGCGTCTGGGACCACAAACGTGGTTGGTTTCCCGACCCCCACAGTACTGTCGATCGTAGTCGGAAGCGTGTCTGGCGAGGTTGGACGTGGCTCTCGAGGCGCGGCAAAGGCCTCGGGCGGCAGCACGTCTTGCCAATCGTCTTCTATATCGACATTTGTCGACAGATTTACGGCGTTCACGTACCGACGTCCGAAGCGTCGCCAATGACGATGGCGTCGTGGCTGGCGAGGAGGGTTGTGCTGGGTGACGCAGTGTCGTCGACAGCGACGGCAACTGTCGGGTCTGTGTTGCTGGTATTTTGGACTGTGGGCACTGGGAGATCGTCACTGGCGTCTTCGCGGATCGTTGCCGACTCGGCGACACTTGGCATTGCCCTCGGTGAGACGTCCAGCCATTCTAGACGCAAAATGACCGAGAAAGACAAAGTGGAGAAAGCTTACCCACGTCGTCGTCGTCAATGTCGATGGTGATCGGCGCAGCAGGAGTTGCCACGGGTACGGTCGAAGTTGCCACAGGCGCAGTGTTACTTGGCTGCGTCACGACATCTTCCCACTCTACCGCTGACGTATCGTGGCCTTCACTCCTCGTCAAAGACGGTCTACCCGTGTCCGAGTCGCTCACGAGTGCGTCTTTGGCCTCGACCTCGTCGCCCCACTCGACATATTGGTCCTTGACCTCGGCCTTGGGCCTACCAACTACACACATGGAGCTTCTGGATATCAAACCATGTAGATACCATCAAACAGAGACGGCGGCAAGATGCTGGCTTCTTCGGCCGTGAGCTGCATCTTGGTCGGATCGAGTGACGCCACGAGGCTGCCGTCTGCCTTGTGCTCCCAGACGACACCGCGCCGCTGCGACGTCGTCTTCTTCGGCACCATCCACTGCGGGTGGTCCGTCCTGAGGACGAGCGGTTTACCGTTGGCACCCATGAGGACATCGTCGTCAACATGCAGAATCTTTGGCGCACGCTGAGTCGGCTGCGACTGCGACTGCTTTTGCACATACTCGGAGAAGAGCCCGACCGACGAGTCCGATGCGTCGAGGAGCTGCGCGTCCGCGGCGACAGCGGCAGGCGGTGGCGCCGGCCGGGCGTCGTTAGCTGTCGTGAGGATGTACCGGCGGTCGGCTTCGCTTGCGATGCGGCGACCGGCTTCGGGGGCGTTCGCTGCCGCCGCCTGCTGCTTCATCTCGCGCTTGAAGCGGCTCGACTTAAGGAACGTCTGAATCTGGGCTAGTGAGTACTCTTCCGGCTTGCCTGCAAGCGTCAAGAACTGCTCGCGGGCCTCTTGGCGACGCTCGCGTTGGAAGGCTTCCACGTTCTCTTGATGGTCTCGCCATTCAATAATCGCATCGTCCTCGTCGACTTCCTCACTGGGCATCGGCGGCGGGCTCTCGGTCGTCTTCTTTTCCTCTTCTTCGTCGTCATTGATATGGATGACGTTGGATTCGGCCTTGGTCTCTTCCTCAACGACGGCCTGCTTGGCTCGCCGCTCGAGCTGCCGCAGGAGCAGCTTTTGCGCCGTTTGCGTGAGCGAGAGCTGGTTCTTCTCGCGCCGGGCGCGGCGACGCTGCAGCGTGCGCAGCTTGATCGCGGGCGTGTCGCCATCGAAGACAAAGACGGGTCGTATGCCGTGGAAGAGGAGCTTGGCGACCCGCTGGAAGGTGCCAAGGAGGTGCGCGTTGCGCAGCATGCTGCCATCCTCCGGATCGCGCATGGCCTTGACGAACTGCGTGAGCCAGATGCTCGCGTCCACGGCCAGCGTCTGCCCGCTCAAGCTCTCAATCGACACCTCGCGGCCTCCCGCAGCAAGCAGCATCCATAACCCCGTCACGCCCATGGCAGATCTTTGGCATCCGGGTACGGGGCCCTACGAAAACGGACTGGCGGACAGTAAATAGTGTTACAAAATATGGAACGCAACAGCAATCTGCAGACACTTCAACTGCCACTTCACATTGGTTCGAGGGCAGCAAGGTCAAGGCAGACATAGACGTTGTCCGTTGATGTGTCGACTCGATGTATTGTCTTCAGGAGGCTTGACAACCCTTGGACGCTCGCGAGGATCAAATCGAGCAGAGTTGAAGACGCCTACTGTGGGCAGGCCACCGAGCGGCTGCCACGATGGAGACGCCAAAGCTGGACAGTTGGCGCCTTGCCAAGCGCCGAGGCAATTAAGAAACGCGCGCAAGCGATAACGAGGCGGGTCAGGACCTGTCTCGGGCTCGCTTCTTCTTTTAGTAGCCTCACTTCAACTAGCAACCATGCCTGCGACGTGGCAGCACCCTTGCCTTTTGCCTCGCGTTTTGGTCCAAGCAACTTCTAGTACCGAGCGACGATACCAACGCGGTGTATGAAGTACCTTGCACGCTGTCGTTAGTGGAAGAACACACGGGAGGCAGAACCTTGGGCTCCATGGCTGTCTTCGATTCGACTGCGCTCGAAGAAAACGCCGAAGAGAGTCGCCCGTCCGTCAGTTGCGGCGATCCGGTGCGTCTCTGTGCCACAGCAACGCGCGGCGCGAATTCGCTTGGCTCGTGCGACGTGGCGCCAATACACTATTTCCGTGCGTCACGTTTTTTGGCCCCTGGATGGCAGGACCTTCGTCGTATCCGGCAAATCCGGATAAGGTGCACCAATCACCACCGGCACTGCCAGGGGTGTTTGGTCGCGTGAAAATACACTGGGCCCGAGTATACGGGCGGTTGTCCTCAATTTCCCGAGGGCTTATTCGGGGGTCGACGTTCAGACCGCCAGCCACTCCTCCTATGTCTGCCCAAGACACCCCTCGGTTCCCTCGTACGTGCTCTTGCTGCGCGAGCATGGATGGCCTCATCTCTCTTGTCCTTGTAGCCCAGGGAGCCCATGACGGCTTGCCGCCGTCGCAGGTAGGATCGCCATCCGCGACGATCGCTCATGCGTCGATCCACGTAGATGCCGGTGCGCACCGCGTCGGCGCCGCCCGTCGACCACACGCTCGACCCGAACCGACCTATCTATTTGCCGTACAGGGCCGGTGGCCAAGGCTACGTGCCTTCCCAGCCGTACGCCGCGCCCGCGCCTACGGCCGGCGTCTTTGTGCCCGGGCAGCCGTTCGTTCCCAAGTCGAACGTACACGCCCAGCCGCCTCCCGAGCGGGTTCACAGCAATCACGTTGCGCACATGGGCAATGCCCCGCCACCGATGACGTCGTCGCCAGGCCAGCTTGGCGGCCGGGGGATGCCTCGTGGCATGCCCCGTGGCATGAACCCGAACAACGTCCGGCCCTTTGTGCCGCAGCATCAGCACCAGCAGCAGCACCCAGGAGCGATGTCAGGATACATTCCGCGCGTCCAGCAGCCGTACTACCAGCAAGGTTGGCTACCTCGATTGTTTGCATACGGCTGTCAACAATTTGTGTAGGTGGCTACAACATGCAACACATGCCGAGCCAGCCCATGTACCCGCCAATGAACCAGTATGGGTCGCCTGCGATGCAACCGCCGCATGTATCGATGAGCATGCCGGGAGCTGTGCCCATTCATGTGATGCCTGGCCAGCAGATGCCGCCCCCTGTACAGCGCCCCGCGCCCGTGCGTGAACGCAAGGCCCTTGTGATCATTGACCCCAAGACGAACAAGCCGATCAACGAATGCAAAGCCCTCGCGACCGACGACGCTACGGTGGTAGAAAAGCCGCGGTCGCACTCGGATGCTCCGCGCCCCACGTCGACGTTGCGAGCCAACGTGCCGGCGTTTGTGTATACCCCACCGACGGCAACGACGGCACCGCCGCCACCGCCACCAGCTGCTCCTGCCGTCCCGGCCTCTCCCGTAAAAAAGGTCAAGTCTCCGCCGCCGACGCCCATTGCAGTGCCTTTGTCCCCGAAGAAGGCGTCTGCGCCGGCGTCCCCGAAGAAGACCGTGTCGTCGTCGCCTGTGAAGGCCGCCGTCACCCCGAAGAAGACGGTCGCTCCTGCACCGGTAACGCCAAAGGTCGCGACACCGAAGAAGGTTGCTACGCCGAAGGAGGACGTCGCGCCGGTGACGCCCAAGGTTGCGACGCCCAAGACCGTGGCGCCCGTGACCCCGAAGGCGGCCTCGCCCAAGGCAGCGCCCAAGGTGGCTACGCCCAAGACAGCGGTGCCCGTTGCCGCCCCGAAGGCCGTGACCCCGAAGCCTGCGACGCCGAAGAAGATTGCGACCCCGGTGTCGTCGCCCAAGAAGAAGTCGGTCGTTGCTGCCGAGCCCAGCATTATGTTTGGGACGGTCGAAGTGAGCACAGACGACGCTATCGCCGTCTCGCCCAAGGCCGTGTCGCGCCCGCCGGGCTTTACCACGGCGGACGACGAGAAGGACAATGAAGGCGACGACGTGGTCGAAGAAGTCTCCAAGAACGTGCCTCGCACCGAGCCGCGCCCGGCCAACACGGCGCCGCAGACGAACAGCAAGTGCTGCTACAGCGTCACGTTCCTCTTGAGCTTCCGCGAAGAGTACGCGGACTTGCCTTCCGCGGCCAAGGACCCGAGCTCTGGCTGGATGTCGATGGAGGTCTCGAACGACGGCCCCAACACGCGTGCGCGCCGCCAGAACTCGGGCGGTCGTGGCATTGAGCGCCAAAACAGCCGTGGCGACAAGGGCGGCAAGTGGTCGCGCGACCAGGCGCCGCCCCGCGGCGGTCGCGGTGGTCGTGGCGGTGGTCGTGGCGGTCGTGGCAGCGCGGGTCCGTCCATGATGGAAACGATCGACTCTGTGCAGCTCAAGCGCAGCGACGACCGCTGGGTGCCGAAGAAGGCGACGAACAACATGGAGCTCGTGAGCAAGCAGGTGCAGAGCATCATGAACAAGATGACAAACCAGAAGTTTGAGCGCCTCGCGGGCCAGCTGAGCGAAATCAACATGGACAGCTCGGACATGGTGGAGGCCGTCATCAAGATTATCTTTGACAAGGCGCTCGGCGAACCCCACTTTTGCGACATGTACGCCAACCTCTGCGTGTACCTCGAGACCAAGTGGAAGGTGTGGAGCTACCTCCAGATCGTCCAGAACGACGACGAGAAGAAGTGGTACTGGACGACGATGAGCGACAACGACGCTGAGGTCGTCGGTCCGTTCGAGTCGCTCGACACCCTCTTTGAGAGCGCGACCGAAGACCCGCAGGACGTGGTTTCCGCGCCCGAGGGTCTTGCGCTCAAGCAGGTGCGCGTGCGCAACAAGAAGTTTGTCAAGGTGTGGGCCGTCGCCGACGACGCGCTCTACTGGTCGGGCCAGAACGTCGAGGACCTCGGAACGACGCAGGTGCTCCACGGGCCGTTTGACTCGTTCGAACTCGCCAACGTGCACGCGATCAAGACGACGTCGTTCAAGCGTATTTTGCTCAACTCGTGCCAAGAGGAATTCGAGAAGGACAACATTTACGAAGAGCTGGACGCGGGCATTGAGAAGGCGCGCGCGGAAGGCACGCTCACGGCCGAGTACGAGGCCGAGTACGAGGAGAAGAAGATGCTCACGAAGCGCCGCATGCTCGGCAACATCCGCTTCATCGGCGAGCTCTACAAGAAGGGCATGCTGCAAGAGCGCATCATGCACGAGTGCGTGGCCAAGATGCTGAACGTGGCTCGCGCGGCGCCGGCGGCGGGCGAGAACGTTCCGTTCCGCCTCGTGCCCCTGCACCCGACGTCGCCGCCGGACGAGGAGAGCATCGAGTCGCTCTCGAAGCTGCTCACGACGATGGGCAAGAACCTCGAAATGTCGAGCGGCCCGCACGTCATGGCAGTTTACTTCGAGTACCTCGGCAAGCTCACGAAGGACAAGCGGCTCTCGTCGCGTATCATTTTCATGCTCATGGACGTCATCGACCTCCGCAACAACAAGTGGACGCCGCGCCGCAAGGAGCTCACGCAGAAGACGCTCGACGAGATCCGAAAGGACGTGGAGAAGGAGGCTGCCAACAAGGGCGCGCAGGCCACGCGCGGTTCGGGCCGCGGCCCGCCCATGTCGGCGTCGAGCCGCGACCGTGACCGTGACGACCGGGGTCGTGATGACCGAGGCCGTGGCGGCAGCTTCCGCGGCAACCAGGCACCGCCGCAGCGTTCCAACAGCAGCAGCAACTTTGCCAACGACCGGTCGCGGTCTCAAAACTTTGATCGCCCGAGCCAAGGCCGCCCGGCCACGTTTGGCTCGGCTAAGGGCCGCCCGGCCAAGCCTGCGCCGCCGCAAAAGAAGAAGGCGCCGTCGATCAAGGCGCAGCTCGAAGCACTCGACGACGACACGGCGTCGCTGCTCTCGAAGAAGGCACGTGGTATCCTGGACGAGTTTGTGGGTCTTCAGGACCCGACCGAGGCGCTCGCGTGCCTGCAGGAGCTCAAGACGTCGCAGAGCGCGGTGCCGAGCGTCTTGGTGTCGGCGGCCTTTGTGAAGGAAGCGCTCGTTGTGGCGATGGAAGAAAAGGCGGCGATTCGCGATGCGTTTTACGACTGCGTCACGGCGCTCTGTGAGAAGAAGGCGCTCGAGGTCGAGGCGGTTCAGTTTGGGCTCGAGACGGCGCTCTTGCTGGCGCCGGACCTCAAGTGCGACGTGCCCAAGATTGGCGAGCACCTCGCGACGATTGTCGTGCGCCTCATGGCGCTTGCGCAGTCGACGCTGACGCTGCAGTGGCTCACGATGGGCCTTCTCTTCAAGGAGGACGCGGAAGCGGACATTCTCGAGGAGCTTGTCGAGGGCGGTGTGCTCTCGGACGTGGTGGGTCTCGTCCTGGCGCGCATGCCGCCGGCGGTTGCCGCGCAGCAGGCGTCGCAAACCTTCCAGTACCTCAACCTGACGTCGATCCTTCCGTCGCACGCGCGGACGGCCAACGACGTGGCTGCGTGGCTGACGGCGCACAATTTGACGAGCACGCTGGCTGTCTTCACCAAGGCGCTGGAGCTGCTCCGATTGAGCCTCGACCTCCCGACGGACGCGGTGATTGCGCGCATCGAGACGACGATCCCGCCCGAAATGCGCGGCGACGCGCTCTTTGCCAAGCAGGTGTGTCTCTTTATGGCCGGTGTCTCGACCAAGCCGTCGGCCCACCACTGCCAACTCATCATGGGTCTCTGCGGCGGCCTTGACGGCCAAGCCGCGCTCATTGGTGGTCTCGCCCAGTCGACGGCGCCAGGTACGAGCTAGTTTGCACGGTGGGTGTTGACACTCTATGTAGCCGATATCAAGCACCTGCTCAAGTACCTCATTGACCACCAGGCGCTGGCAACCAACGCGATCAAGGCGTGGAGTGACTCGGCAGCGCAGCGCTTGTGCGTCAAGGGCGCGGCGCTGGAACAGATGGACGAGATCGTCTCGCGCATGCGCAAGTAGACTACACCCCGGACGATATAGCAGTTTTTGTCCATGACTCTTTGTTAGTACTATTACATTGTGTCGCGGAAAGAGAGCAGTGTTAGCTTTGTATAAGGACAACTACCGACGACGACGAGTCACTTGCGCGACGCGGGCTGGAGGCGCGGGTCCAGCCCTTGGACCTTCTTGGCGCGCTGCTTGGCGTCCGAGGCCTTTTCCCGCGCGACGAGCTCTCGCGATCGCTGGCGCGTGGCGTCGGCGACTGTCGCGAGTTTCTCGAGTTTGTGGAGCAACGTCTGGTTCAGCTGCACTTCGAGGGTCGTGTGGTCCGCGAGCAGCGCTTCCTCCTCCTTGGCGAGCATTTGCTGCTTGAGAATGGCTTGCTGCAGCTGATTTTTGGCCGCACGCTGTATGTCGACCTGGCGCTGCCGCTTCTCGTCCTTCTCCCGGTCCGCTCGCCACAAATCGGCCTGCTTGTCATAGTCCCTACATTCAACATGAGCCAAAGACTCGTTCTTTGCAATCGGACTCTTTCTCGAGGCGTTCGCGCTCCTTCTTGAGCTGCATCTGCTGCTTGAGGTACTGCTGCTGGTCGTGGTTGCGACGCATCGCGTCTTGGCGCTTCTTGTCGTCGAGCTCGGCCTGGCGCCGCTCATAGTCCTACGATGATACATGATGCGTCCATCAAGCAGTATTGGTCTGCCTCTTGGTAGCGCAGAATCCGCATCTCGTCTTCCTTGTTGCGCATGTCGGTCTCGGCCTTGGACGTGTCGTCAAAGAACTTCATTTTGGCCTGGATCTTCTTGGAGAGCGCGTCAAGGTTTTGCTGGCGCTGCGCTTCTTTCGCCTCCTCCATCTTGACGTAGTCGTGGGCTAGCTTCACCTCGAGCTCACGGTCCGCGGCCATCGCATTCGCCTTCTTCCGCAACTGCGCCTCGTTCTCCTCGAGGACACGCGCCATCTTGAGCTTCTCGGCTTGCTTGCGCGCGGCGTCCTTGGCCTCCTACATGCATGTGCCATTCTTCACTGTGCATGGCGCATGAGTAGCAGCAGTACGTCGTCGGCCTTTTGCTTGGCGATGGCTTCGGCCATGCGCACTTCGGCCTCGCTGCGTAGGTTAAGCAAATGGCAAGATGTGTCGACGTACTGGCGCGCGGCTACTTCGGTCCGCTTCTTCTCGAGCTTGTACTGGCGCTGCTCCTCCTGGATTTTGTTTTGCTCTTTGGCGCGCGCGATACGGTCGAGCTCCTTGGCGCGCTCGGCGTCGTTCATGCGCTCGAGCTTGCGCATGGTCTCCTCAAAGTACTTTTGGTTATCTTGCGCTTCGGCCTGCTTGGCCATTTGCTTGGCGTCGACCTGGGACTGCAGGTCGTGGCTCCAGCTCGATCGCATCGCGACCTTCTTCTTCATCTACAAACGGTGTCGTGCAGACTGCGGCGTGGCGACGACGGACCTTGGACTCGGCGTCGTGGACTTCTTCGAGGTTTTGGATCTGGACGAGCGCGTTCCAAATGTCATCTTGCTTGTGCTTCTTGGGCGACTTGCGCGGCGGCAAGACAAAGCCGATGCTCGCTTGCTGCAGCTGCGACTCGGTCACGTAGATCGAGTCGGCCGCGGGCAGTGGACGCGGTCTACGAAGCGCTTCATTGTTGCGACGACGACAAGCAGGAGATGTACTCGTCCTTGGAGCCATTGGATTTCCGCGTCTTTTTTTGGCTCTTGGGCTTCTCGAGTGGGGCCTCGACGGGTTCGGCTGGCCCTGGCGGTGTACTCGCCTTGGGGACCGACAGCGACGACGCGCCGCGCTTGCAAAGCGTCTGAACGAGGCGCTGCAGCTCTGCGTCCTATGCCGTCGCTCGGACCTCGCACGCAAAAGATCGCGCGCACCGTGAGGTTGCTCGATGCGCCTTGCTTCTGCAGCGTCTCGAGGATCTGCGACGCGAGCTCGGACGCGAGCGCCGGCGGCTTCTTGCACTGCTTTTGGATGCGAACGCAAATCGACATGCGCAGCTTCTCCTTCATGTTGAGGTAGAGCGCGCGCTGCCGTATTCTCTCCTTGTCGAGCGTGCGCATGGACGCGCTACGTGCGTGGCGTTAGGACGACGCATCGGGTCGGCGTCCACGCACCGCGTGTCGGCGACGGACACGGTGCTGCTGCCGGTCATCGTGCTTCCGAGGGTTCCGGGCAAATGACCGTCGTTACCGTGCGTATAAATAGCCCGTGTGTTTCATCGACCGGCGGCTTCTTCAAGCACCCTCAATCTCCACTCCACTTTGCAGCTCAACTCCAAGGTGCAGCGACCCGTCCATGGCGAACAGCGTGCCAAAATGAGCGTGCAAACAAGCCAAGACGTAAGTACATGGAGCGGTGACACTGCAAGCTGCATGGCCTGAGCTAATAGCGTCAGACTCGTACGCTGTTCTTGGCTGGCGCTCGGAGCTGTTGACGCTGGGTGGCCGATGGATCGGAGCGCCTGCGCTCTGATTGGCCGAGAGGTGGCTGGCATTTTTCCATGCGCGTGCGGGTGGCGTTCGCGGACGAGGCTGGCGCGATGATGGCCGAGGCCTGGGGCTTCTCGCGCTGCGTCGTGCCTATCGACGACTCGTTGAAGCTCGTGGGCGACCTTTTGCACCACGTCTCGACGCGCTTCGGCCTCCAATCGACCACCGGCGGCCTCGAAGTGCTGCTCGACGGCTTCGTGCTCCTGCCGAGCGACAAGATTGCGCTTGTCTTGCGCGCGGATGACGTGCTCACGGTGCAATGGTCCACGCGTGCTGCCGCTGCCGCTGCTTCAATCACGCTCCAGACCATGCCGCGCTTGGTGGCGGCTGCACCAACAGAGCGCAAGAAGCATCCCAGCCGCGCGACGACCACAAAACCCGTGGCACTCCAGCGAGCAAATGCCAGCTCCAGCTCCAGTGACAACGAGAGTAGCAGCGGCGAAGAGACAAGCGTAGTGGCCAACAAGTCACCGCCGAAGAAGCCAGCGCCCAAAGGAGCAGCGGGCCCGCCACCACCCACTCCAGCCAAGCGCGTTGTGCCACCCAAAACTACCCCAACAACTGCAACCAGCAAACGTAGCAGCGACAGCAGCAGCAGTAGTAGTAGCAGTGACAGTAGCAGCAGCAGTAGCAGCGAGTCCGAGCAGGAAGTCAAGACGAAGCCTCGACCGCTCGTGACGTTGAAGGAGAAGAAGCGACTCGCGAAGGCTGGGACGCCGTACCAACGCTCTGCTACGGCTACTACCCCCGTCGTCAGTGCTGCTTCGTCGCCAAAGAAGCGGCCGGCGGCCGTTGCGTTTCCCGAGGCACAGGATGCGACGTCTGCTGCCAAGGCGCGATGGGGTTCAACAAGCGCACCAGGTCATAACCACGTCCGCTTCGATGCGAAAGCGAACGCGTCTTTCGACAAACCAGTGCCAGATGCAAAACTTTCGCGCGCTTTGGACCACCGCCCGCGGGGCGGGGACTTGGCCAAGTACGGCCCGTCAGCCGCTCCCCTGCCCAGCGCAATGCCGGCGCCACGGCTGCAGCAGCGCCAAGCACCCGTGCATCGGACTCCGCAGCCCGCCACTGCGACATCAAAGAAAGAGCTGTGGAAGCGTCCGTACCAGGTCATCGCCTCGCTTGAAACAGCGTCGATGCGTGCAACGGCAACTCCCGAGGTGTGCTTATGTCGGTAGGTCATACACTCATTCACCGTGTGCATAGGACGCATTCACGACGTACCCCGAAGCTCAGATCAAATGGGTTCAAGCGGGCGATGTTGTTGCCTTCAAGACGCTGCGTCTCTGCGAGACGACCATGACGCCAGTCCTGAGCGCCTATCAAGTGGGCCGCTGCGTCGCCGCAGAGACCGATGCGCTCGTCTTGCAGCCGTGCGTCAAGACAGCGTACGTTTCCTCGTATTTCTGGGCAGCAATCAACGATGCTACTTGTGTAGTCAAGGCACCTACGAAGACGACGAGGCGAAGGAGCCATGCACGTTCGAGACGATGGAGGTCCAGGATCTGCGGGCGCTTGCGGGTGCAGCGCACGTACTCGGTCAGCTCCAATGCCGCGTAGTTGATCCCAGCACGTCGGCTGCAGCAGAGGAACACGGCAGCAATGATGAAGACCAGCAGCAGGTCGACGACGTGGGGGCGACGAGGAATGAAAGCGATGAGAACGACGAGATGGCGACCGCCAAGGAGAACCTCTTGGAGATGCTTCGCGCCCGGAAGGAGCAGCTTCTTCGCGAGCAGCTCGAAGGCAACACGGGTGCGGCACCGTAATACGCAGCACAATAATATCGTCCTTTGGATACCGTATATATGAACGTGTTTCGCGTTATCTCCGTTGGTGCAAGGACCTCGCTACTAGAAACCTCCTTCTCCCTTTGCTCGCGGGGCCGTGGCTTGCTCTGCTGAAGTCGCTCGGGGGCACTGCGACAAGGAAGTTCAACGAGTGCCCGATCGTGTACTCGTAAATTAGGACAAATTCCCTTGGTTCGCGCGAGATGACAACAGACAAAAGGGCCCAAAGCGGTTGTATCCGGAGGCGCTCTATCATTGGCCCTATTCATAGGTATCGGCCAATCATTTTCGTTTAACGGAGGCGTTCCGGATAGACAGTGCGTATAATTCGGGAATATATTGCATAACTCCACTATATAGCGTATATTACCATTGGTTTTAGCCAATCACCAACAAGTTGGAAATCTTGGTCACGATGCTGGTGGCGCGAGCATCACTGCGGCGACGTGGCTTCCATGCCCCGCGGTCGCTCGTCGACGGCGGCGATCGCATCCTGCGCGAGGTAGACGCCATCTCGCATGTCATCTGCCCACTGAAGATGCCACGACAGGGCGACCCGATGACCAAGGTCCGCTGGAGCCTCGCGACGCAGCAGTTGTGGCAGGAAGGAAATCTTCCGCTGTACGTGAACCCTCGGTTTTGCTTCACTTTGAACAACGCTTGCCATCGTAGGTGCCACGAGGAGACGTGGTGTGGGAATCCGCCCGACTATCCCGCGCGAGGTCCGCTCCCGCGGCTCTACGACCCCAAGGACATGCCGAGCGACAAGTCGACTCCGATTCCGATCGGAATTCTGCACGGCCTGGCGCATATTGAGCTCGGCGCCATTGGTATAGTTTAAATCTTGTGATAGTTATGTTATGGACCGCTGCGTAGACAACTACTGGGACACGGTCGTGCGCTTTGCGCCGGAGCCCGCCGACGACGTGTACCACCTGCCCCGCGCCTTCTACGACGACTTTGCCAACGTAGCTTGTGACGAGGCCCGTCATTTTGAGCTCGTGGAGAGCCGTTTGCGCGAGCTGGATTCGTTTTATGGCCAGCTGCCCGCGCACCGAGCACTCCTCGAACACGCGGCCAACACACGCAGCACGCTTGCCGCACGACTGGCTGTGATCCCGCTTGTGCAAGAGGCTCGCGGCCTCGACGCTGGCCCTCGGCTGGTGCACAAGCTGAAGTCTCTTGGTGACCCGGTGTCTGCAGACGTTGTTGCACAGATTGTGTTTGAGGAACGTGGCCATGTGGCCCGGGGCATCGAGTGGTTCACGTACCTCTGCGGTCAGATCCAGAGAGATCCCGTTCCGTACTTTCACGAGCTCGTGCGCGAGTTCTTCCCCGACGGTCTCCCGGGGCCGTTCAACCTCGAAGCGCGTTTGGCGTCACACATGCCGCCGAAATGGTACCAGCCACTCGAGATGGCGCCCAAGCCCAAAAAGGCGGCAGCCCCCGTGACATCGCCACGTCACGTAAACCGTCCGACCAATGGCAAGACTCTCGTTGTCGCGGGTTGCGTCTGGCCCGAGCGCACGTCGTCGGCTGCGGGCGTGCGTACGACCGACATGATCGAGATGGCGCGCGACGAAGGCTATGACGTCATTTGCATCTCGCCGTGCCGGCCAAACGAACACACGGCGCGCTGGGAGGCAGACGGTGTTGCCTGTGTCCAGCTCGACCCCAACACGGGCGACGTCGAGACGTTCCTCAAAGCGACCCGCGTCGATACAGTGGTTTTCGATCGGTTTATCGCTGAAGAAATGTACGGCTGGCACGTCGCGACGCATGTACCGAGTGCCAAACGCATCCTAGACCTCCAAGACGTGCATTTTCTCCGAAAAGCGCGCGAGCATCTCGTGCTCAAAGCCAAGGTACCTCTACCAAACGAAAGTGGGCTCACGGAAGAGAGCAGGTGGACTTTGAAGCGACGCTCGGTCTCGACATTGACGTCGAGCCGGTGCTGCCAAGCGTACTGCGGGAGCTCGCGAGTATCTATCGGTCCGACACGACGTTGTACGTCTCCGAGTTCGAGAAAGCGCTGCTTGTCGAGCGCTTTGGCGTACATTCGGCATCGCTGGAAGCCCTGGACTACATGCTGCCGCTCGCTGCGCCATCGATGCCGGTACAGTCGTGCTGTCGACAAAATAGGTGTCATGGTCTTTGCGATAGACGCCGTTCGAAGAGAGGGAGCACGTGGCTGTTGTTGGGAGCTTCAAGCACCCGCCCAACGTCGACGGCCTCAAGTGGCTCACGAATCACATCTGGCCTCGGACGCGGGAACTCATTGGGAAGGATGTGGAGCTCCACATCTATGGCTCGTACGCGAGCGCGAAGGACATGAAGCACTTTGAGCAGCCGCGCGAAAACGTGCGCATGATGGGTTTTTGCAAAGACGTGCACGCGACGCTGGGCCAGTACCGCGTGAGTCTCGCGCCACTGCGGTTCGGTGCCGGCATCAAGGGCAAGGTCATCGACTCGTGGATTGCGGGTACGCCCGTGGTATCGACCAGCGTCGGCGCCGAGGGCTTGCACTTTGACGCAACGGGCGTGTGGGGTGGCCGCGTCGCGAACGCACCAGACGCCTTTGCGCTCGCGACGCAGCAATTGTACGACGAACCTGGCGCGTGGAAAGCGTGCCAAGACGCTGGTCACGGAATCTGCCAAACCCACTACGATCGGCGCAAGCAGCAACACGCTTGGACAGGCGTGCTGCAGACGCCACCGCGGGAAAACTGGCTCGGCCGCGTCCTCTCGTCAAGCCAATTCCGGGCGACCGAGTACATGTCGCGCTTCATCCGAGCCAAGAACGAGGCTGCCGCATCTTCGAGCTAGTTTACCTCTGTCATTGCCAAGCTAGTAACCAGCTCCAGCACATGAATGCAAATCCCATGCACTTAAAGCGCCTTTTATTCAAGAAATTGGTATTCTAGTAAACGCTGTTGTATGCTCAGAGCTTGGCGAGGCCCGGGATCTCGGCGAGGAGGTCTGCAATGTCCATCGACTTGGGACCGCCCAGCGGCACCTTGCGGAAGGTCGCGAGGCGCCGCGCCAGCACGTCGAGTTCCTTGCCCTAGTCGCGATCAGTACCACGCATCGTGTCATATGAATGTACGTCGTGGTAGCGCGCCGTGAGGAGAACGAGGGTCCGCGGCGTGGCCCCGCGAGTCTTGGCGGGCTCTTGGACCATGTGCACGACGCTCCAGCGCTCGAGGATCGCGAGTGCGTTCTGGAGCGTCTCGAGCGAGCACGCCTCATAGTGCGCAATGATGCGTTCGTGGTACATCTAATGTACGTCACCCTCGGAAAACGACGCATCACGCGATACCGTCTCGGCGAGCCACTGCATGCGGCGTACGAGGTCGCTCGGCGACATACCGTCGCCCGACTTGAGCACGAGCAAACTCGCGACCGCGACCCAGTAGCTAGTATGTGCGGATGACGACTCGTTATCAATCGACGGCGCACCTGTCGATGAAGGGCCAAATCGCCGCACACAAGAGCGTTTGAATCGACTGGCTCGTCGGCGTCGGCGTCATCGTGTGGACCCTACAGCGCGATTGAGCCGAAAACAACATTATATGTCTAACGTACGTCGACGCAAAGATACCGCGCTCTTCCATGCCAGCGAGTGTCTTTTCGAGGGTAGCTCGGCCGTCCGCGTAGTACTTGGAGACAAACTCGATCGAGAGCATTTCATGCAAGAAGACGGCGCTGTCGAGCAGTTCTTTGGTGGGCACGCCCTGCGCATTGTGCAGCGGTTGTGTTGGGCGCGCAGGTAAACATACCTCGCTGCTGCCGTTGGCGGCGAGCGCTTGGTAGGCGCAGGCCAAAACGCCTTCTTCGTTGAACCAGTGAAGTACCTTGTTGCGGTAGTAGCCGAGCCCAATCATGTTTTGGTACTGGTCGCGCTACACAGAGACATCAAGAACGCGTCGATCGTCCATCGACCGTACGTTGGTGATGGCAGGCTCGACGAGGTCCTTCCGGCGCCAAACGACAAACTCTTCCAGCAGCGCCAGCGCCCTACGCCCAATAGAATTAGAGTCGTCACCAAAGCAAAACGACGCACCGCTCGACAATGGCGACGCGGCTGCGACCTTGGCAGCTCAGCACTCTGCCGCCACGCTGCACGACCTGCGACCGAAGCCAATCGGTTTGGGCCACGAGCTGCTCCCTACGCATCCCATGTTTTAGAGTCGAGTGCGAACGACCTGTGCACTGACTTGGAGATGCCGTTGCGGAAGAGGAGGAGGATCGTTGCGACGAGGTGCGTCGGCGTGCACGTGGCTTTTTGCACGAGCGACTCGGTCACTGCGTACGCGAGGTCCGTCACGAGCGAGATCGGTTCGTTCGTCACCGGGTCACGGACGTCGGCTTTGGCGTGGGCGGCCACAAACTCCTTGACGTGGATCGCGGGCGCAAACTGCACCGAGATCGACCCAAAGTCCTTGCGCAAGACATGCGCCGACTTGAGGAGCGCGCCGAGCGACTACGACATCGGATTGCAAAATGAGGGCGTACGAGCAAAAAGTACCTCCTTGATCTTGCCTTCACCGAGCATCTCCTTCTGGTGCACGCCAAGCTCCACGGGCTTGTCATAGTCGATGGTGACAGGCACGATATGAATCTACAGCAACAGACCTCAGCCCATGGACTCAGATGAGGAACGAGCGACGAACGTTCTTGACGCGGCCCGATTCAAAGCTCTTGACGATCGTCGAGAGCATGCCAAACTGAGGGCGCAGTTGCTTGCCGCTGCGGCTGCGCGTGCCCTCGAGGAAGAACTCGACCGTGTGGCCCTTCCCGAGCAAGTACTAGACAAGCATAAGTGTCGATATTTCTTGTCGAGAGCTACCTGCGTGTACTCGGTAAAGATGGCCGAGTACAATGGGTCGTTCTTGAAGGACCGGCGGATAAAGAACGCGCCACCCTTGCGCAGCAGGTCCGAGATCGCACTACGCACAGCGCGTCAAGGACGGCGAGACACGCGTACGTGCATACCCCATATTGAGAAAGTCTTCGCCCGCGAGCACAAACGGGATCGGGATGTTGTACGCAAAGAAGAGGTACGTCATCATGAGAAAGTCCATGTACGAGCGGTGCGTCGGGATGAGTACGAGCGGACCTTCGCGGACCTTGACGAGGTTGCGGATCGCCTCAAGGCCGGCTTCGTCCACCACGATCTTGTCGTACATGTGACGCCACACCTGCGACGCCATCATTGGGCGATCTGTCTATATGGAAATGGAGAGAGAAACCTTGCGGAGGAGCCAGCCCGCCTTGCGCGCGGCCGAGTAGTCAATGTTGGACGCCATGCGGTTCAGAATCGAGAGCGCCTCGGCCTCGATCTCGTGCCGAGAAAGCTTCGGGTTGGCTGCCGCCTTGGCCGCGACGGCCTCGCGCACCGAAGACGACTCGAGGATCACATTGCGGATGGACGCGATCGAGTCGGCGGGTACGCGCGGTACGTGGCTCGCCTCGTGATGCATGCCCTCGCGCCAGCCTGCACTCACATGAGAGAGTCGAGGCAACGTTCCAGACAAGTGTACCAGTGAGACCCATGAAGCGGCCCCAGATGCCGGCCTTGGTGTAGCCGGGCTTGCGGCTAGACGTGAACGCCCACGAGACGTCGGGCAAAAGACCCGGAAACGAGATCGCGTGGTGGTCCGGGTCCCACTCGAGAATGCGGTCCGTGTTGAGCGCCATCTAGAAAAAGTTAGATTACGTGTTGGGTTGTAGAGCTCACCTCCGTGTGCTGCGTGCCCTCAATGTCGACGTCGACAATGTCTTCGTGGAGAATCCACTTCTTAAGGCCCACGGCGTAGTTGAGCAGGTACCGCTCCCAGACAATTTCGCCTGCGTTCACAAACCTAATCTCACGTTGCAGCCAATAGAGCGTAAAAGCATGCAATACCAAGCATCGCTCGCAATCTCCGGCATGGAAGCAAAGCGCAGGAGGTTGTCGGATGAAAAAACCCACTGGTTCTCAGTGAAAGGCTTGAAGAGCTCGACAAGCTGTCGCGCCCGCCACGTGAGCGTCCAGAGCCGCGACGCCTGCTTCATGTGGTGCGGGTTGCCCGAGGCATTGGCGGCCGTCGAGTACACGGAGGATGGCAGCGTGTACTTGAAGAACCAGTGCAGCTGGAACAATTGGTGGCTCGAATGCATCGAGAATTTATACGGGGCAAGCGCTTTCTCCGGCGGGTTTTGCTGGAAGTATGCGCTCAGAGTACCAATAGGGACGCGCCAGCGCAGCGGGTTTCCCCGCGGGTCCGACGTGCCCGAGTGCACAACGAGCGGCGGTGCACTTGCGGGCTGTTTCGAGCGCGCAAAGCCGCTGACGAGGATACCGTTGACGACAAAGTCGACCTGGTGATACAAAGTCGTGAGCTTGTGGTAGTCGTTTTGTACATCGCTCGTACCGGGACGATGTCGGCAACGCTACGCGGGTTACCCGGGAGGATCGTAAGGATGCCCATGCCTGCGGCCAAGAAGATGGCGCCAGCAGCGGCAATTTGGTCGACCTAGAGGGAGGGCGTCAACACAAAAAAGTATTGTCGTCGCAGGGCGTACCCAGCCCGGCACGGGCTCCTTCCATGCTGCGCCGACAATCGTGGGACGAAAGATGACGACGGGGAGGTGCGCACGGTGCTTCATGATCATGTGCTCGGCCATCGACTTGGTGAGCGTGTACGTGTTGGGGTACGTTCCGATCAAGTTGAGGTGCAACTTTTCAATCTCGGTTGGCGACGCCGCCTACGCGAGACTGCAGTTGCCAGCGATGTCATGTTGCGTACGCTCGTGACGGCCGCAATCGCAGCTTCCGGGTCGAAATCCAGCGGGTAGAGCTAAGCACATTATGAACCTAGAAACAAGGAGCGAAAACAGCACCTTCTCCTCGAGCGTGCAGTTGCGCTGGTTGCTGTTGACGTACGCAGTCGACACGTGAACGTACGACACGACGTTCTTCATGCGCTTGCCAAAGTTGAGCATGTACATGGCGCCGAGGCAGTTCATCTAGTGCAAAGATAACGTCACAGCTGAGATCCGCCAAAGTACCTCGACGGCCACGTCGAGCGGCTCGTTGAAGCTGACGCTGGCAGCCGAGTGCACGACGACGTTGACCTTCTCGATCAAGAGCGCCGCGTCTTCTGGCGACATGCCCAAACTAGCCGAGTTGATGTCGCCGGCAATGCCATGCAGCTTGGAGCGCACGAAGGTGTCAAAGTCGCTGCGCTCCGCGCGGAGGCGGTTGAAAATGGCGCTAGAAACACGCGTCAGAGCTGCGACATCGTTAACGACAGCATGTACCTGCTAATGACGTCCGACTCGAGACGGTCGGCGGCGGATCGGCCTTTCTTCGGGCGCACGAGCACGTAGATCTTGTCAATGTTGGGCGTACAGCGCAGGAGCTTTTC